TTCCTCTATAGGTGGGATGTAAATTGGTGTGAACACTGCAAGACCCGGGTGGGGTGCTATTGCCTGACTTGATCCGGTCAGGGCAACTAGGAAGCCGGAGAGGCCAGAGATCACTCTGAGCAGCCTTTACCAAAACAAAAACAAAACAGACAACACGGTGGGGGGGGGGGAAAGAAAAGAGAAAGAAGAATCTGAGAGACTCTGTGCCCCCAGTCTCAGGAGGACTGGCCCCAGGTCATCCAAACACAATTTTAGCTAAGGGAAGCAATCCAGAGATGAATTTCAGCAAAGGGCACAACTATAGTCTTAAAGACCATGGTTGGGGGCAGTCCCCCCATTTCTAGGAACACCAGAAGATTTTCGGGAGCTCAATGGTCAATTCCTCGGGTTCAGAGAAACAGTTAAGCTGACCAGAATGGGGGAAATTTACCAACTGAAGCTGGTGGTGTACATAGAGATCATGCTGTAGAAATCACATTCAGGCATATGGAACATGTGGCTGTTGTGGGAAAAATACCCAGTCCCAGATCCCAACCCTGGAGGAGGGGCTCAGCAAAAAGAAACCCTTTTTCAAAAAAACTAAAAACAAAACAAAAAACAAACAAACAAAAACCAAGTGGTATGCTAGAGGTGCCACAGTCAAGTCTTCAGTGAGGCTATGTTTCTATGTGTCTGACATTCTTCATCTGAAAGATGAGATGGTAGTAAGGTGAAAATTCAGAGTCATGAATTCTTATGACTGACGTGGCCTTTAGGGTCAATGTGACTGTGTCAAGAAGCACGTGGGGAAAGTTGCACTGGGTAGCTACTGTGGGGACCATATCAGAGGAGAGAGGTGTATGGCGGCTGATGGGTTAAATGGAAAAGGGACACCCGCCACAGGAGATGGACACTACCTAAAGGGTCCAAGAGTAATAATACAAAAATGTTGATTCCAGAAATAGGAATGTAGAAATAAGGAAAGACAAAGTTGTAAGCCTAGGAGAATGCGAACAGACCGTCAGCACCTTGAGGATTAAGTATCAACAGTGGGTTACTCTGCTTTACAACCCATAGCTCTATTCACAAGGTCAATGTATCTCTCTGCAAACTGAGAGCTAGTCTACAGATATGAGCTGAGTCAATCTAGGAAATAGATACATGACCTCTGGGCTACCCATGATCCCTGCTATGGGAAACTGGCAGCATCAAAGGAGAGGACACGGGCTTCAGCAAACACCATCTGGGAGTACCGAGGAAGACAATAGATTAAGTGCAAACACTAGTGTAACTGAAAAGCTCTGGTAATGGGGATTGTAAAGTAAGACAATCTGTAACTAAGTTTTCCCTTGAGACTGTAAAATTTCCATTCTTCAGACCTAATGCTTGGTGCCCCTACTCTAAAAAGCTGGGTTCAAAAACTGTCCATTGTCACAGCCTAACATAAATCCATTTCTGGCTGTGGTCTCAGCTAGCTGATAAGCTTTTTGTGCCCCATGGAGATTTTTTATTTTATTTTATTTTTTCCTGGATTCTGTTTTCTGGAATAAAGTTTGCTTCTGGTTTATTAGATTTGGTGGTCTGTCCCTATCTTTGCATAACCCCCCTGGATCCAACATACCCATTCTGGCCCAAGACAGAACATGTATCTCCATCCGTCTCCTGGCGTGAAGATTGTTTTCCCTACCCTTGGACAACAGGAACTCAAGCTTTCCAGACTTGGGACTCCAAAGCATATGAGCAGCTGCTTACACCTCATGGCTTTATCCTTGACATTGGGGTCTGGAGACTTGGGCTGAGTCCTGACAGCAGCCAAGCCTGCAGGGTATCTGATGATAGGCATTATAGGCAGCCTGTTCTGAGATGGTTCAGCCTCTAATCTTGAGCCAGATCCCCCAACACTCCTGAACAGGTGACTTCTTGTAGCTCCCATGTATCCTGTTGGGTCTGTCTTTCTGAAGAGCCCTGAGTAACCGGTGCCCAGTAACATGATCTCCTGTGAGAGGAAAGCAGTGTGTGATTCCTGAAGGCACAGGGCAGCCTGGGAGATGCCATTGGAGTCCAGTTTCTGATCCCACTCTGCCATTCTGTCTTTGAGTTTGGGAGAATCCAATGTCAAGGGAGACATTTGAGATTGCTTGGTAAGGTGGTGGCCCACTGTTGAATATTCAGTTTCTCCAAGAGACCAGGATTACCAGCCTGTGCTCAAATGCCTGGCCATATATATTTTTGAAAATGATTTACTTTAATGAGGTATTATATTGTCACAGTTCTTCAATGCTCCTTTTCTTGTATGTTATTCAATTTTCTTCTTTTCCTGTGTGTGTGTGTGTGTGTGTGTGTGTGTGTGTTTAGACTATGATGCACAGGCTTTAAACCTCAAGGTGATCTTCCTGCCTCTGTGTCCAGATTGCTAGTGCTAATAGAATGCCCTGCCACACACAGCTTGAAAAATAATTCTTATTATGCAATTCTCCTCCTCTTCTGATGGCCCAGGAGGCCAGGAGATGGTATCAAAATCCCTGATACTGGAGATGTAGATTGTAGATTGTAGTGAGCATCTACATGTACTGAGAATAGAGGCTGGATTCTTTGATAGAATTTTTCACGCTCTTAACTGCTAAGGTATTTTCCATCCAAAGTTATCTATTCTCAATTGTGTTTCTAGTCCAAGGCAACTTAGTCAGTATCAGACACCAGATGCTAATTAAAAAGTGGAATTCTCCTCCATTTGAGAGAATTAGCCTCAGTCAGGGATTAGCTTCCAAAAGTCATCCAATGCAATGTGCCCAGCCCATTATCCATATTTATACAACCAACAAAATGGATGCAGTAGGTTGTCCTCACGTATTTCAGCATGTTTATTTCCTGGTTCTTGACAAGGAAGAAATTGGAAGGATTTCAGAAGGGATGGAATGAAGAGATAAAGAGGAAATGTGTTGTAATATCTTTTAATTAACAACTTATGGAAATAAATTTTAAATAAAAAAGAGGCATTAGATAGATGCTTCAGCAGTTCAGAACACTGTGTTGTTACAGAGGACTCGCATTCCTTTTCCAGAACCCACATGGTAGCTCACCATTTGCTGTAACTCCAGTCCCACGATCTCCTGCCTTGTTCTGGCCTCTGTAGGTACTGTGTACAGGCACATACAGGAAAAATGCCATATAACTAATTTAAAAAAAATAGAAAAAGCCGGGTGGTGGTGTCACATGACTTTAATCCCAGCACTTGGGAGGCAGAGGCAGGCGGATCTCTGTGAGTTCGAGGCCAGCCTGGTCTAGAAGAGCTAGTGCCAGGACAGGCTCCAAAACCACAGAGAAACCCTGTCTTGAAAAACCAAAAAAAAAAAAAAAAAGTAAAAAGGAAAGAATAAAATTCTTTATAGTGATGTCATATCCCTGAGAAAGACAGCAGCTAGGGTTTGTTAAAATGAATTTTTTTCTGGTCTTGCATGGAAGTAGCCATGGCCTTCTGCCAAGCCTGCCTGCTCAGAGGAGAAAGCAGATTGGTTCTGAGGTTAGTAGAGATCATCATTACTTTTCATCTAAAAGCTGAATATACAGTGCTGTTAGGTGTCTTTCTCTTGACGTTTTCTTATTTGTCCTCTCTATCTTTTACATCTGTGAGAACTGTGGTATTGGTAAAGTTATTTTTCAGATCAAGGACCAAGACTGACAAGACTGCTTTGGCACCAAAGCAATTGACTTTTATTTGTGTCATTTACTTGATTTTCAGGTATTTCTTTTCATCATTTTTTCATTTAAATGACCCTGACAGACTTTTATGCAAGAGTGTCCCTATGTCCCTTAATGTCTTTGATTTTAAATTGTGATCTTGTTCAGAAGTGGATTTGTCATCTGAGCAAGCTTAGCTCCAGGCAGAGCTCCACACGAGCACGTGCAGATTCCCTAAGTAAAATCCCCATGATTCCTCTGTGTAGGAAAAGCATTGTTTTGGAAATAACTCCCCTGCTCTCCTTGTCTCCTGTAGGTAGGAATTCTTTCTCATCTTTCTGTCTTGGATGTTGTGATGGTTATTCTTGGTGGTCAAATTGATTACCTCTGAAATTAAAACCCACAGAGTTGGGTAAACCTCTAAGGATTTTTCTTAAGATTTTGAAATTAAGACCTATCTTTAATCTGGATCATTTGAGATGATAATATCCACATTTAGCACACCTTTAACCTCATAATTCAGGAGGCAGAGGCAGTCACATTTTCTGAGTTTGAGGCCAGCGTGGTCTATGGAATGAGTTCCAAAGCCACCCAGATAAACCCTTTCTCAATAACACCAAAAACACCCTAGAATAATGCAGCTGTGGTTTTTTTTGATCACCTTCTCACTGAAGAAGATGTGCTAGCAAACAATAGTGTTCATAAACACGTTAAGCCTAGCTCCATTATTCTCTAAGTAGTCAACTTTGCACAAAGATTGCTTTTTTATTATTATTATTCATTTGTCAAGAGTTTGTTCTGAGTTTCAGGAATAATACTACTAAAGCAACAGAGCCATCACCAGCCTTCTGATTGGAGAAAGACTTATTATCTTGTTTGAGGTCAGGTTCCTGCTTTTCCTGGTTGTCTGAATTCCCCCAGACAACCTCACCAGGAAAGCACAGGGCAAACATTTCCTTGTGTCCTTCAATATCTCTTTAATGTTAATTTTTCGGGATGCTTCCCCCTGTGTGACAGTGTAGTATAGTGGGCTGTACAAGCTAGCTAGACCTGTTGTGTTCAGGAGGAAGAAGGGGAAGCGCCTGTGGACTGCAGGAAGATAGCAGGGTCTGCTAGCTATTGGATCCAGGGGCAATTGCTATTGAAATGCATTTCTCTGCTGATCCAGAAAAGGTCTTTGTCCGGTGTGGAAGGCAGGATCAAGAACCCTTGTGCTGTGACTTTAAGCACAACCTAACCTCATGCAAGGTGTTCTTGTCACTCAGGTCTCACTGGCCAATCAGGTCCTCCAGACAACCTGCCAGTCAGAAGTTGTGCAGGGCCCTTCCTGCACTGGTTTTAGGCTTGGCTTTGAAGAGGAGCTGGCACTAGTGGCTTTGTGTGTTGTGCTGCTAGTTATACTACAGGGAGCTGAGCGGAAAGCTTGGGCAAGCTGGGAGATCACGACATGGTGAGTAGGGGCTGTTGTCCCCAGATGGGAAGGAGAAGATGGTGAGGTGTAGGAGCCAGTGTGGTGACGCCTCCCCGTATCAGGTTTGGAACCTGCAGCCATATTCCCTGTCCTGTGAGGTCCAGGTGGTCATCGCAACTCCCTGGACCTAGGAGTAAGCCTCTGAATAACTTAGCTCTGTGGACTCTATACTGAGAGCATAGGGCGCAGGGAGCTGTGTGTAAAACATCAACGTGCTTTACGTGTATTCATGGAGAACAGGTTACTAAACTCAGAGAGGCCTATTTTCCCCACTATTTGCTAGATGTTCAGCACTTCGTATTTTAACTTAATGTATTTTTTCTTTTTTTATTGAAATTTTTGAGCTCTACATATTTCTCTACGCCCCTCAATTCTTCTCCCCTCCCCCGTTCAGCTCTCGCCCAAGGTCCCCATAATCTCAATTTACTCAGGAGATCTTGTCTTTTTTTACTTTCTACTTCCCATGCAGATTAGATCTATGTAAGTCTCTCTTAGTGTTCACATTGTTGTCTAAATTCTCTGGGATTGTGGTTTGTAAGCTGGCTTTCTTTGCTTTATGTTACAAAACCACCCATGAGTGAGTACATGTGATAATTTTTTTATTTTTTTTTTCTGTGTCTTTGTTACCTCACTCAAAATAACGTTTTCTAGTTCCCTCCATTTTCCTGCTGGTGGGTCGGGGGGGGGGGGGGGGCGGGCAAAGATGAGAACACCACTAAATCTAATAAACCAGAAGCAAACTTTATTCCAGAAACCAGATCCTAGGAAAAACAGAAGCAAACTTAAAAATAAAAAGTAAAAATAAAACAACGCGGGGCACAGAAGCTTATCAGTTAGCTGAGACCACAGCCAGAGATGGTGTTTGTTAGACTGTGGTGAAAGGCAGGTTTTTGAACCCACTTTTTATAGTAGGGACACCAAGCGTTAGCTCTGAACAAAGGAATATTTACAACCTTGCCCTGACCCTTGGGTTGGTCAGCTGAGACTGTAGAGAGGAGTGAGTGCTAATGTCGGTGGGTAACTGGGCAGCCATCATGAAATATGTTTCAGAGATTACAACGGAGGTCACTTATTGCGACAAAACATATGTCTTTAGCAATTAGTCAGAAAGGGACTGCTAGTCATACTAGAAGGTTAATAAATTAGGATTAACTGGTTCTTAGGCTGAGAATTTAGGAGATAGCAGAAAGCTTTTCACACTATCTCAAGGTAAAACTCAGATACTGACTGCCATACTTTACAGCCTCTGTTAGCAGGGCTCATCAATTAACCCATTGTATTTGTCCACTGTCTCCAGTACCTCCAGGTGTAAATTGGAGTCTTATGCCTGTCCTCTAGTGGCGCCAGTTTTTCATAATGGAAACAGTGTCTAACCCAAAGGTGACATATCTCTGTCTCCTAAAGGTTAACTCAGTTCACATCTGTCATTTACTAGGGATGGCCAGGATACTACTCTCAATTTGTAGGGAGAAGCTCTGGCCTTGTAAATATAACAGCCAGTTGTAAAATGACCTAAGCTTCCCAAGCATCTGAGAAAATAGCTCACTGTGAATGAATGATTCTTGATCTGCTGAGAAAGCTGCTGACAGTCTGTTCTCGTTCTCCTAGACTTAGAACTTTATATTTTTTTTTACATTCTTATTTTTGGAATCTACATTTTTATTTTATTCATGGACTCTTCACTGCAAAATTCAAGCTGTCGTTATTTTTTTCTGCTGTGTAGTACTCCATTGTGTAAATGTACCACATTTTCCTTATCCATTCTTCAATCGAGGGGCATTTAGGTTGTGTCCAGCTTCTGCCTATGACAAACAAAGCTGCTATGAACAAAGTTGAGCACATGTCCTTGTGGCATGATTGAGCATGCTTTGGATATATACCCAAAAGTGGCATTACTGGGTCTTGAGGAAGGTTGTTTCCTAATTTACTGAGAAATCGCCACACTGACATCCAAAGGAGTTGTACCAGCTTGCATTCCCACCAGCAGTGCAGAAATGTTCCCTTTTCCCCACAACCTCTTCAGCATAAGTTGTCATCAGTGTTTTTATCTTAGCCATTCTTTCAGGTATAAGAAGGAAACTCAGAGTTGGTTTGATTTGCATTTGTCTGATGACTAAGGATGTTGAACATTTCCTTAAGTGTTTTTCAGCCATTTTAGATTCCTCTGTTGAGAGTTCTTTTTTTAGGTCTGTACTCCATTTTTTATTGGATTATGTGATCTTTTGGTGCCCAATTTCTTTTTTTTTTTTTTTGGTTTTTTTTTTTTTTTTGGTTTTTCGAGACAGGGTTTCTCAGTGGTTTTGGAGCCTGTCCTGGAACTAGCTCTTGTAGAACAGGCTGGCCTCAAAATCACAGAGATCCACCTGCCTCTGCTGGGATTAAAGGCATGTGCCACCATTGCCCAGCTGAAAATTGCTTTTAGCACCTAACCTTGGCTCTGGTGCCCAGTGCCAAGAAGACAGTCCTGTAACTCCTTCTAGGCGGGGCCGTGACTGTTCATTTGGTGAGAAGGGAAAGTAGACCAGCTATTGAGTAACCTCTAGCCTATCTGGTTTTTATTGGGGACTTAAATTGAAGAGGGACCTATGCAAGAATTGAGGTCATTGACCAACTTTGAAGCTATGGGAATCACAGCACAGAAAGGGAGAGGAAGAACAGAGGGTGAGAGCTTTCCTTCTTCAGCAGTAGTTGAGATTAGCAATGTGGAATTTGGCAGTCAATTTTATTTTATTTTATTTTGGTTTTTCGAGACAGGGTTTCTCTGTGGCTTTGCAGCCTGTCCTGGAACTAGCTCTTGTAGACCAGGCTGGTCTCGAATTCACAGAGATCCGCCTGCCTCTGCCTCGCGAGTGCTGGGATTAAAGGCCTGCGCCACCATCGCCCAGCTTTGGCAGTCAATTTTAAATGTTCCATAAATGTCTTGATTGGCCATTTCTTGCAGTCCACAGACCAGGGAAATCAAGAATCTGGGTAAAGGACTGACCTTCGAGGAAAGGTGTAATAAATCTTTGATATACTCTAATATGTGTCTCTTAAGCACATGACCATAAAGCCTGTTTCAACTTTCCAAAATAAATTTTAAGATTATAACTCTGTCATATCCACATTCTTTTTCTTGGCTCCAAACCCTACCATGACCCTTCACTGGTTTCTAATTCAGGGCCTGTTTTGCTTTAACAACAGTTACACAGTAACAACAGTTACTGTTTGAATGTGACCTGTGTTTGTGTGCATGATTTCCTAGGTATAAGCATTGGGATGGCTGCACTGGAAACTGTGTGAGTAATAGAAAGCACACATAAAGAACCCTGTGCTTTAGACAAAACCAGGATGGGCTCCTGGAGAGTAAAAGAATGTCTACTAAAACCCAAACTTTCTAGACAAGGGTTCTGTCTGCTGGGCTGGCAGGGCAGAGCTGGAAGGACAGTGCTGTCTGAGTCATTTGATCTCTGATCACCCACTAGTGGAGCTGTTCATATTCTGAGGATCAGCTGGGTGGCCCTAGCCAATAAGGAATTCTGGGGAGGGTTTTCAATCAGGAGTATTAGTGGCAGGTAGCTCACTGGTTCTTTTCTGGATTCTCCTGTGCCTCTGCTGCAGTGAGTTGTAAGGAAGACCATAAGACCACGGTGTGTGTGGGATGTTCACAGCAAGTCTGATGTGCTGTCATTTCTGCCGGGGTTGGATGGATCAGAAGCCAGACCGCGGATCTGTGGGTCCATGTGGTGACCTGGGCAGTGGCCCTTGTCCTCTGAGTCTCCCTGTGTATGGATTTCCTGGGAGGGGGGACTCTGTAGCCCTGGCTTAGGAAGATATTGCTGGTAGTACTACTGTCCAGTGTGTACTCATGGACACTGGTTTTGGTGTGCAGTGGGAAGACAGGTTGGAAAACTGAAGGGCTGGTTCCTAGTAGTTCTGAGTATTGCATTCCATTTTCAGGTTTGTCTTATACATGTTAGAAATACTTTAGAAACTGGTAGAAGGATGATGTGGATCATCTTTCATCACTGAATGATTATTATGCTTTTAACTTTCTGCTACTTACAGCCACAGTGCTAGGATTTAGTGAAGTTTAGTTCCAGGAGATAAAAGAAATTTCAGGAGGAAAAAAGGAATTTCAGATCTGTGGGGATTTTTCAAGGGTGCATGGTGTTGGGTAGGTAGATAGGGCACAATCTTGTGCCATAATCCATGTGGCAAGAAACAGATTTTAAATTATTCCTCTATGTTGCTTTCGAATTCTGCATCAGTGGTGCTGGATTTACCTTAAACCACAAGGGGGCGTAAGGGACAGCAGAACTACAGCAAGACATCAACTCCATCTTCAGGGAGAGCTCTAGGTGATGGGACTTTTGTGTTGAAGGCTGATAGTTGTTCCTGGCTGCCCAGACTTGAAATAATCACACAGAAACTATATTATTTAAACCACTGCTTGGCCAATCAGTTAAGCCTATTGCTCCTAAACCTTTGGTTAACCCATTTCTATTAATCTGTGTATTGCCACATGGCTGTGGCTTATTGAGTAAAGTTCTATTCGGCATCTCTCATTTGTCTCCTGTGGGGCTTCATGGCTTGTCCCTGACTCTGGCTTCTGTCTCTCTCTCTCTCTCTCTCTCTCTCTCTCTCTCTCTCTCTCTCTCTCTCTCTCTCCCATGCTATAATCTGTTAAGCGATTAGCAGAAAGTAGCTCCTTTATTCATTAATGAATATAAGCAACACATATACCAAAGGACTTCCTACACCATTCTTCTTTTCTGTTTAAATGAAGAGGAAGTTTTTAACTTTTTTTTTGTTTTTTGTTTTTGTTTTTTTGAGACAGGGTTTCTCTGTGGCTTTGGAGCCTGTCCTGGAACTAGCTCTGTAGACCAGGCTGGTCTCAAACTCACAGGGATCTGCCTGCCTCTGCCTCCCGAGTGCTGGGATTAAAGGCGTGCACCACCATCGCCCGGCTTCTTGGGGTTTTATTTTTGTATCAAACT